TACTCACTACTCCCAACTTCAAACATTCACCTTTCGGTTCATTACCACAAATTCCATGGAATTAGAGATTCCCTTTAAATTTAATATTGTAAAATGTTCTGGAAATCTCCAATAGGGCGTTTTGTTTCACTGGGTGACTGGACAAAATTAGAGTAATACTAAACATTACCCGGAACCCAATTCGAGTTTATTCTTCTAGATATAGAAATGATCCTTTGAAAGGGGGTCCGCCAGTTCAATCACATTTTTTAGTTTTTTTTTTTTATTTGTATACAATTGTATCATTTTTCTATCCGGCAAAGGAAAATTAAGTCCAATTATCATGATATTGATTATATTACATAAGAGATTATTCGGATATAATTTTTCCATGGAATAAACCTCATAAATAGCTAAAAGCAGAGTACAAAGATGGAAGGCAGCAGCACAATATGCAATACTTTAAATTTAAAGATTAATCACTATCCAAAAATATTTATCTGCTTTAATGTAAAGCTTTCTAAATTGTCCGATAGTTTATCTCTGAAGTACTTTATTGTCCATTAGTTGTCTTACAGATTCAAAAAGAAAGTATTTATCTATTATATAAAAAACTTTTTAGTGAACGCCTAACATTTTATTTTAAATACAAGGTGAAATGCCCGCAGAGCACATCAACCGTGCGGGTTTACAGATACTGCGCCTTAACCCCATCACCTATATAAGATCTTTTCTAACTGTTCAGGATGTAAGTTATCAACTATTCTCTTTTTTAACAATTTCTGTCTTTTATATACCTTTATCATTTGTGAAATTCGGGACCTGACAGCGGACAGAGTACCCCCCTAGTTTTCAAAAATTTAAATAAAAATAAATTAAATAAAGCTGGATTCATCTTAAAAATATATATATTTTCATATATATTTTCATATATATATTCATTTTAAAAAATATATTTCTTTCTTATAATAAAAAGATGTAGACCATTTTTTTTTTCAGAAAACTATTCAATTGTGAATTAAATCGAAATAATATTTATAGTATTGTAGCAAAGAGCACCTACTAATGACATATATGATAAATCCTAGGTAAATTGTTATTATAATATTAGCCTTTATCCAATAACGATTCTTGTTTAGGATAATAATTTAATGTGTTGGAAGGGAACGAGATGCCTAAATAATAGGGACCTAGCGGCAACAGGTGTTGAGGCGCATTTACTGTTAATGCACTTTGGAGTCTCGGTATATTCTGATGGAATAAACCACTATAATTAATATATTCAAATTGCAATTTATTTCAGTTAAAAATATTTTAATTTTTATTTTAAGTAGAGTGTGAACGTGCTCTCTGAACACTATTTTAAATGTCCTTTATTGCGACAGATTGTAATATTTCCGAATAAAAAAATAAAAAGAAAAAAAACTAAGAGTCACAGGTAATTATTTTTTCGACAACTTTGTATAATTCGGTTAATTTAGATGTTATTTTCTATCAATTATTGCTTTGAATTTTCAAATGATATTTAATTTAATATATATATTTTTTTGGGCCGACTTCGTTAGAAATGCGTTAGTAAATTGCTTTACAATAGGATCAATATATTTACTCTGGAGTTTATTGATAAATTTTATTTATTTTGTATCTTTGCTTATATTAATTTTCATGAAGTTAAACATTGTATTGTTTTTTAAGATTTATTTTTTTAGGTTTAATTTTCTTTTTTTTATTTTATTTTTTATAGCTCTTTTCACATTGTTTTATCGCCTTTTTTTTATTTTAGAGAGATTCGCGTTAAATTCTGTCCCTTATTTATTTTTAAAGATATTCCATTTAATCAGAAACCATGTTAAAATGCATGAAATGTACAATATTCCAGTAGAGTATATATAATGGAACTTAATTTTAAACGACCAAACGTTACAAGTCAATGTTGAAGTTTTCTAAGTAATAACCTTATTTTAACTAATATGACTGGGCTTTAATTTTTCTTTTATTTATTAATAATTTTCCTTCATATCATATTTCTACTTACCTAAGCTTTCTCGCTAAGGGAAATGCTTTTATCAAAATGTTTATAGCATATAAACCTTATTATTATTTTTAATGATCTGTTCCCCGAAAAAGTAGCAAGTGTGTTCATTACAACCTTTTTTACTTATGGGTGATAAAAAAAAAAAGATAAATGTCATCTCTACTATTTTTTATTTTTAAAGAGAAGATATTTTTTAGCTTGAATTATTAACATTCACCAACTTTTTTTTTAGATGTTTTCTGTTAGCAGTAAAATATCTGCATATAATAAATGCAATGAAATGAAAAATAATTTGTTTTATGATACATATTATCCAATAGCTACAAAAGAGTCGCACTGCTGGAATAAATGAACATTTGTATGGTTTTATTCAACAATAAAATACAGCCAATGAATTCATTAGCAGGATTAACGTCTGGCTGGTTTTCAAAGGCATGGTAAAATAGAAGAGGAATATAATCATGTATCTTTCTTTAAAAAAAACTCGTAAATACAATTTCATATTATTTGCATTATTATCATCCCATGAGTACAAATAAAAATGCTTTTAAGCTCGTAGCGGCTATTATGTAGCGATTTTTCTATAAATTTACAAACTAAAGTGGCAAATAAAAAAAAAGAAAGTGATATGGAGCTTAGTGATACACTGTTATAGATAAAATACTAATTGATGAATTTGTTTGTGTGTTATATTTTTTTTTTTATGGTATGTCCGGCATTAAGAAGACTGTCAGTTGAACAACTTTACGTGGCAGCGCCCAGGCGAGGATCAGTAAAAATGAATGAACAGGAGGCAACCTTGTCTTCTTTTAGCTAATTTATCAGAGCTCATAATATTATGTAAAACTGCAAATGGGCAGTAGAGCAGCGATTTCACAGCAAAGGAGTAACTCGTACAATATTAGAGGTACAACAGTACAACAGTTGGCAAATCGTATTCTCCAGTAAAGCTAGGCTCCCGACGTTGACGAAGTGTTAAAAAACATAAAACATAGAACTTATATAAATAAAGCTATAATACACTCAATATAATACGCGCCATAAACAATCAGCCTTTGAACCACAATTAATTGAACTATCAATTAAAACAGCTGATTTCCTTTCCTTCTGTTTTTTCGTTTTTTTCATATTTAAACATTTTAAATTTAGTATTAAAATAATACATAAAAGAAATTAACGCTATGAGAGTTTGTATTAGGTTTTAGTCTTATACCGTTGTACTGTCGTTGTACCCATTCGAGTTGCGAATATCAGCCAAATCAAAACGGGCCATTTTAAAATTGCGTTCCAATGAAGAGATAAACCAAATACGTAAAAATTCTATTTTTACGTATGATTTTATTAAATTTAACAACCAACTTCTTAGCTTACGAAGTCTTCCGATAAGATTATTAGAATTGTTATTTCATTTTTCAAAGAAAATGGTATTGCTTTCATTTGACAGATTCACTAATGCCTTTACTTTATAACATACGTTAGATGTTAACTTAAATATAATAAATTAATCTATAATTGAATTTATAACAATAATTTTTATTATTTGACTCTTTTCATTTTGGAAGATCGCCGCCTGTTCAGGATCACAGGAGACTGGCGACATTATTTCTGAAGGGTTGTTAATTAAGGGCTTGCTAATTAGCTATTTCTTCTTTCTCTGAAGTATCAAAAGAAAAAAAATCAAAACAATTAATTTCAAATTACATATATTTTTTTTATTTTCTTGTTTTCTTTATGTAAAAATTAGTAGTTCACGTATATATTAATTAATAATATTAATTATTAGCATCAGTCTAAAATTTGGTGAATAACTTTATTTAATCGTTAAATAAAACTTTTTGTATCCACGAAAATTCTCAGAAATCGTGCGTTATCAATCTTGAGGTCTGTGAACTTTGTCTATTTAATGAAATATTAAAAATCATGAATACTCATGTGCTTTCCACTTGAATAGTAACATAATTTGATGACAAAATTAAGAAAATAAGGTGGCCTACAAAAATATTGCTTGTAACTCTGGCATTCATGCCCTGCTCTCTCCACCCCCCCGGGAAGATCCACCTATAGCCTAAAAAGGTAAGGTAAGGGTGGACAAATAAAAAAAATTCTAAGGTTATGAGTCACGTATAGACTTTTTTATTCATTCCTTAATTTAAATTACGAAATTTCATATAAAGGAAGGAGATGGTCTGGGGTGGCGGTCATAAATAGGCTAAATAGTGGTAAAACTCTTTTATTGAAATCAGACGCTTCGACTCGACTTTGCATGTCTTCTTCAGGGAGGTGTGTTCAACTAGGAGTTTCACTAAGAACTCACTTAGTGTTAGAACTCTTAGTTCTTAGTGAAACTCCTAGCTGAACACACCTCCCTGAAGAAGACTTGCAAAGTCGGGTCGAAACGTCGGCTTTCAATAAAATAGTTTTACCACTATTTAGCCTCTTTATGACCGCCACCCCGGACCATCTCCTGCCTTTATAAAGCAACGGTCAACTATTAAATATTCGAAATTTCATGTAGTTTCCGTTAAATTATACTAGTTTTCGATGCGTTTTGTTCCTAACTTCCTAACACTCTTCATTACTTTAGATATATATATATATATATTACATTATATACATATTACTCATTTCCATTATTATTTTAGCAAATTATTTTTCAATCTACGAAAATGTTTCTCCTTTTGCTAATTCTCCTAATGGGTAGTAAAAACATATCACCATATCCATAAATACATATCACTACTGTTAATGCAAAAGTTCGTATGTAACAATTTTTTATGTTAATTATATTTGTGCTAACGGTGACATGTTGTAGTCTGTAACTGCAATAAATATTCTGGTACTATACTAAAATAGACCAATACACTTTTCCTGGATTAGGTGCTTTAGAACAATTTTTTCTCGTTCTACACCTAGCTCTCCACCAAATATCTATATCTCTTATTTTCTTCACCATGTATCTTTCCCCTCCTACGTTTTTTTTTTTTTTTTAAGATTGCTCTTCCATCCCTCCTCTTCCTGAGCTCCCTGATTCAGTGACTCTCGACGCCAATCCGTCATGAGCCATCTTACTGCCAATATTTCTCAATTGATCCTCTACAATGTCCCCCCCCCCCCTCCTGAGAAGACGCACCCCCACGATCAATGCAATCCAATCATCCGTCCTGGTTCCTATCTTCGTCATAGTACGGGATTCCGTCCCTTTTTTTTTCTTCCTTTTTCCTATAGTTATGGAGCGAGTGATTACTTCCAGTAGATAGACAGTAGATTCCTGAAGGGGAATGAGAGTTTTCTTCTAATCAATCTTTAAGAAATATTTATAGATTTTGAAAAGTACTCTAACAAAAATAATCTAAATGTCACATGAAATACTCCAGAAACTTATCATTCTTTAGAATTTTAGTGTGAGTTGTAGACGAAAATGGATTTTTTGAAACAATAGTGAAAATATATATGTTTAACATTCATTAGAAATCTTAAGGATTATTGATAATGATTTATGAAAGGAAACAATAATTTTAAGTTTGACATACCATAAATTATATAATTGATCGAATTATCTTTTTGAAATTGTTTACAAATAACGTTATCGTAGTTTTTTTCAGGAAGTATATGATATCTTGCCCAATGAATAGGTGCGGAGATATATTTTTTTTTGCAACTCCTTTAGCCCCCTTCCTGTGAAAGGTATTTCAGGTTATATCTTTTGGTAAAAAGGAAAATGAATAAGCTGGAATTTATTGGTGAAATAAATATAAACATAGGCGTGAATTATTTTTAATTTTTAATAATTAGTAAATAAGATACAGAATTTATTTAATTGAAGGTTTTATTTTCATGACATTATAGAAGAAGTTTAAAATGAATAATAGTTTCTAAAAACTGACTTCCATTGCTCAAGAGCCCGGATTCAAACCCGGCTCTAGCAGTTAAGAGTTTATTCCATTATATGATTCGTAGATCAAGTCTGGAATCTGGGAGAAAATCAAAAAAATTATAGTCTATTTCAATTTTTAGAAATTATTTAAATTTTAACGAAAACGTTTTGTAATAAAGTTTTCATTATTATTTTTGATAAAAGTTTAATATCTAAAATTGGTCAGGTCTATATAATATATAAGTAGATATAATTCCTTCAAAACTTTAATGTTCTGCATCGTTATTATAATCTGGAATTTAATTTTCAATGTTACATTTCAATTTCATTTTTTTTTTGTTTTATCTCTCGGTTAACTCAAGGTCGGATAAGATTTCGATGTATTAATATTAAAAATTTAACAATATTGATGATTTTACACACTTTTAGATGTTAATTACAGAATTCTACGTATTTTTTGATTTTTACTCGAAAAACACTTGAAAATCTCAAACATTATAGTCTATTTCAATTTTTAGAAATTCTTTAAATTTTAACGAAAACGTTTCGTAATAAAGTTTTCATTATTATTTTTGATAAAAGTTAAATATCTGAAATTGGTCTGGTCTATATAATACATAGGTACATACAATTCTTTCAAACCTTTAATGTTCTGCATCGTTATTATAATCTGGAATTTCATTTTCAATGTTACATTTCATTTTTTTTTTTTTATCTCTCGGTTAACTCAAGATCTGATAAGATTTCGATGTATTAATGTTATAAATTAAACAATATTGATGATTTTACACACTTTTAGGTGTTAATAACACAATTTGAATTTATTACTGCACGTTTTTCCGAATATTTACTGTACAAAAATCCGGTCTCCAGTATTGATTACTTATATATTATCTTTTAATATTTGAGCAGAACTTTAATTATTTAAGTGGGTTGGGGAGTGAAAGTTTTGTGACGCACACTGCTCCAGAATTTTTAATAATTTCCTTTTGTTCAATCTCACACGGAGTTACCTTGCCCAATTGATTGGAGCAATTTTTGAGGATGTTGGGGGAGGGGAGGAGGAAGGTGTGGAGGTCTACAAATCCTTTCGACGAAAGAAGGAGAACTAAGATCCTTTACAGTAGGGGTTAGAGTAGAAGATAGAGTATAGAGTTGGTAGAGCGTAGAGTGAACTAATATAGGGTTTAATTAGCGGAGAGCATATAGTAGGGCAGACCTTCCCGAGTTACAGCTTCTCTCCTTGTCAGGGCAGCTTATTACCTTGTCCCTCCTCTCTAGTCCGCTATTTTAATTTCCTTCTCTTTTACCTTAGTTATATCTAGCTCAACTATCGCTTTCTTTATTTTATTTTTTTACTGACTGAAGGAAAATATTGATCTCATTACCTCCGAACAAACAAAAAGTTTAATTTTTACAATAACCAACGACTTCCTGCCCTACAGTTTCCTTTAACAATACTCCACTTATCCCTGTTGAGCAAATCCGATACCTAGGACTCCACCTGGACAAACGATTAACTTGGAATCCTCATACTAGACTGAAACGACAAGAAACCGCTCGACGTTTCCGATCACTTCAGCACTTACTAGACAAACGCTCTAAACTTCCCATTAATTACAAAAGACTCATATACTTGACTATAATAAGACCTATTTGGACTTACGGAGTTGAGCTATGGGGCTTCACTAAACCATCGAATTCCTCTCGCATCCAATCTTTACAATCCAAAATCCTCAATGCTCCTTACTTTGTCACTAATAAAATTATCCATAAAGATCTTAATGTTCCTTATGTTTCAGATCTGGACCAATCCAGATACCTATCCTTCCATAATAAACTTCAGAATCATCCCAACCCTCTCGTTTCTAACCTTGCTTCCTCTTCAATTCCTGATAACTCTCCGCGGCGTCTGAAAAGGAGATGGCCGGCGTCTGAGATGGAGATTGGGTAGTTACTTAGCAAGTATATTCATGTCATTATATCTATTATGTCCAAATTGACTTGATGTATTTATGTAATACAGTTATAAATGTCATTAAGAAATAAAAAAAAAATACAATGAATTTTATGTTATATCCATTTTACTAGTGAAAACGTATATACTAAGTATGTATCGCTACTGTTGGTGCAAAATGTAGGTAACGATTTTCCTTGTTTATTCTATTGGTGCTAAAGGTGACGTTTCATAGTATGCAATTGATATAGATAGCCTGGTACTATGATAAATAGCAGTGGAAAATAAAATATGAAATTATACTAATAAATCAGAAATAAATAAATAGTTTTTATGCTCTCCTGTATAACACTCAATTTTTACATAACTCCTTTTGCTCTAACAGTAGGCTTTATCATAGCTTTTTAGACCCTTAATTTGAGATTTCTTTAAATATGTCGAGATTTCAATACCTTTGAAAGAAAGAAGAAAGCTCTGTTTGAGCATGTATTACGCTGGCCCATTTCTGTCCGTTGGTCAATCATTGAGGTTTTTGAGAAACTAAGATATTTGGATTTGTTTACTCACGTAAGCGATTTTCCTTCAACACAAATCCTGGTATTAGGATAGATTGTTCAGCTTACTGTCATATATTTTATTTTATCTTAATTTACTTTTAGGCAGATTTGCTTTGTTTTCCTTATGAGGTTTTCTCAATTTCCTCTAGTTTGCTTTCAAGTATTTTATTTCTAAACATTATCTCAACCTAATCAGGTTGATCAGTTGCATCGGTTGAAGATGTTTTTCATATAAACATAATTTTAAATATCGCTCGCAGCGGGACAAGACGCCTGATTCTCTGGACACAGTGTTATTCCCGCAGTAACAATATACATCTTCATTATGTACTATTTTTTTTTTTTAACCACGATTCATCAAATACGCGATTTGCAGAATGGAACTCTTTAGCATTTTAGTATTCTTTAGTGAACAAACTTCGTGGTTGTCTCAAGACATAAGTCTTCCGCTCAAAAAAGAAATATTTTGTAGCTGGCATTCCATGTGGAGTGAGAGTCCGCCAAGCAAATAAAAAATATTAAAAAAAACAGTAAAGCCATGGTCAACATCAAATCGTTCTATCCGCAGAGAGGAAGTTTTCTTGACCAGACTGAGAATAGGCCATACCAATCAAACCCATTGACATCTCATTAGCAAACAGTCACAACCAGAATGCTAACACCGTAATAAAATAGGTACATTTTTCAAGAATGTTCTTCCTATATCTCGAATCTAACTAGTTTCAGACTCAAACCCCCAATATCAAATATCCTTATAAAAACGACGAAGACACTGTACCGTTAGTGTAATCAAACAACTTGTTAAATAAAATTTTAAAATTGAAATTAAAATCTAGCTCAGTTAAACAAAATTAAACACAAGCTTTGATGACCTCGTGGTTTCAAGCCTTAAACCCCCTACTAACAACATCTACAACAAAAAATATTCGTGTATACTAAACCCCCGAATGCTAAAGAATTACAGAATTTAAAAGAATGGCTTCTCTCGGAGATTTTATTCTCCTATGAAAAATTATAGACTGTAAAATATAAATATTTTTTGATGAAATGCTAATGAAAACGATGATGAAGATATCCTGACCTTACTTGGCAGACTTCACCATTCTTCTTTGCTTATTTTTATCCATTTATTTACATACAGCTCTATTACTTCTTTTTTGATTCGTTCTATCCATCTGCTTTTTGGCTTTCCATATGGCCTGTTGTCTATTATTTAGGTCAGTGCCGACCTTAGGGTGGGACAACCGAGACAATTGCTACGCCACTTACAAAATAAATAAATTACAAAACATATTAAAATGATTAATTGTATCCTATTAACAAAGTAACTGTATTAGAGAAATATTGAAATGAAATTCAAATACGGAATGATTAAAAAAAAACTTAAGAAATAAATTTATATTTTCGTTAGGGGAAGGTAGATTAATGATGTCTAAAATCAGCACTGATTGAGACATTCGTTGTTGTGTAGTGGCTTCTAGATAGATCCGAGCTATATGTCCTGCACACCTTAACCACCTTGTCTTTATACCATTTTATTTTGACTGACCAGTTTCTGCAAGCATGTCTTAATGGTTTTTTCTCCTTCATTGGTCTTTCTCATCCCAGATCGCTGCGGTTATCGTACGGAGGATTTTCCTCTCAAATATTTCAACAATCTTTTCTAGGAGGCTGGTTAGTGTCCAGGTCTCACAGCCATATATTAGAACTGGCTTTATCATAGCTTTTTACGCCCTTAATTTGATGCTTGATTGATTTCTTTAGAAATGTCTAGATATGTCAATATCTTTGAAAGAGAGAAGAAAGCTCTGTTTTCGACTGCTGGTCCAATTTCGACCGTTGGTCATTCACTGAGGTATTTTGAGAAACTAAGATATTTGGATTTGTTTACTCTCGTAAACGATTTTTCTTCAAAACAAATCCTGGTAGGTGTGTCAAAACAAATCTCCGGGTTTCTCAATGTCCTCTTGATTTCTTTCAATGATTTTATTTATGATTTTATTTCTCAACATTATCAACCTAATCACTTTGATCAATTGCATCGAATTGAAGACGTTATTCATAAAAATATAATTTTTAATATCGCTCGCACTGGGACAAATCACCTGATTCTGTGGACACAGTGTTAAGCCCCCATATATTATATCATATAAATTGAATTACCTTATTTTATTTATTGTTACGTTCGGAACAATTTGTTTTGTTTTAAATATCTGAAAATTATTTACATTTTTCCATGTTTTATGGTTGTATGCTTAGCTTATTAAGTTGTCATTTTTAATATTTTTATCTTTTAAAAAAATCATCTTGAAAGGTATACCAAGACTATCCTGATTTAAATATTAATATGTAAATTTTTTCCTGAAACATTACAATAAATTATAATGGTTAGAAGTATGAAGGTATATCAGTAAAAAATCGAAGCGTGAAGTCACATGAAATGATGCTAAAATAATAGCCTTCAAGATAAAAATAAGATATGTATGATAAATGATATATGAATGTTAATTTAGCATATTATAAGTATCGAGGCCTTATATTTTGATTGTTTTGATTTAAATCAAGTTAACTGCAATATTGTGTAATATTGTAATACGGAGACATGAATTGTAATTAATTGATTTATGTTCTGTCAACAGGTAAAATGAGTTCTCAGAAGCGATCATTATCGTCCCACGTGAATGTCTGCCTGTTGCTGGCACTACAGCTGTGCATATGTAAGCTTAATGATACATGACAATAATTACTTAAATTAAAATATAAAAAAAATTCATTAAACCAATTTTATTTTAAATTAAAGATAATTATTATTTATTAATAATGATAATGAAGTTAATATACTCTATTTTATCGAGCTCCTGCATCCATTTCCTTATGCTTTTAAGTCTTAGATTCAAATCCTATTTTACGCAGTTACGGTGGTGCAGGGCCGCGAAATAGTGGGTTTTTTTTTTGGGTGTATATTTTTAGATTATTATTATTTTGATATACCTATTTCAAAATGAGTTTATCATTTGTATTTGATTAGAAACTAAACATTAAAACTAGTGATTTTTTTTTAAACTTTATTTTACAACTTACACCTGTCAGAGATAGTAACAACCAGGGAGTGTGCTATCGGGAAGTAAAATGGAATAAGACATTGGGAGGCGTAAGGGAAAGAATTGCCCAGTGGCATCTCTTTCTACCTTAATTTTAATATTTATAGTTAGGAGATCCCTGGGGGCGGGGTGGCCGAATAGGCTAAAGCGTGTGTAACAGCACCGCTAGTTGCCTGGCAACCGGATAACAGAGATTTGAGATGATATAAAAAGTACGAGTTCGCGTCCCGGTGCCGGAAGGGATTTTAAATTCCCCGCCCTCACCCCCCGGCCCGGGAAAGTCCCGTATAGCCTAAAAGGCGAGGTAGGGAAGAACAAAAAAAAAAAAAAAAAAAAAAAAAAAAAAAAAAAAAAAAAAAAAAAAAAAAAAAAAAAAAAAAAAAAAAAAAAAAAAAAAAAAAAAGTTAGGAGATCCCTCATTCAGTTTCTTTAGAATTGATTAGGTATTTTGTCGGTACTTTCGTACATCAAGGATCATACAGTTTTTCAAGATCATACTGTCCTACAGTTTTTAGCAACTGTCATGACTGTAATTATGACAGTAAATGTTCCACATAGACATATTACATAGAGGTTTATGTCTGCATTTGAATAGTTTCTAGTTTTCTTAAGACGTTCATATTAACCATACTTCCTGGTAGTGTTGTGCTGTAATAAGTTTGTATTTCAAATATTCCTTATTATTGAAAACAAAATATTCATTCAAAATATTATATATATATGAAGATTTATTAAAATAAAATATTCACTGATCATAGAAGCATTCATTCAAGGATTAATCATTCCAAAAATATATTTATTTTTTTTAATTAAAATTGATTTAGAATTATCTCTAGTTTGAAAATTAAATATTAGTAATCTTGAATCGAAATTTGTAACTTTTAGAGTTTCATCGATACAAGAGTCTATTTTTATAGGTTGCGTAATCGCGTATCATCTTTTTTTTCAATTCTTCGATATAAGAATCCATTATGTATGAATTGTTTTTTAATGAAAATAATGGAATTTAATATCACGCACCAAACTCACAAAACACCAAGATCCTACAGAGACCTCACTAACTTTACATCACTTACTTAAATTAAAGATTGGTTCAAACTATAAAAAGTTCGACTTAATCATGACAAATCCAAATATATAATGATGTATCCAGATATATAATGATACAGATCAAAGAAAAGATTTGATTACGATTTATTTGATAAACTAAAGCAATGTAAACCGGCTTAAGGTAGATCAGTGTAAAAATTTACCCTCTAATATTGCTATTTATGTTAAAAGTAGAGGAAATGGTGAAGCTTGTGTGATGCGGGCAACCGATTTGTTTTACTTTCACTTAGTTATCTTTTTTCTCTTATTCGATTCTTTCTGACACCAAGATATGAACCCGTAATCTTATATTGGAAATTGAATAGCTGTAATTTCGTTAATAGTTGTCCGAAATGAACGATTTTTATACAGTTTTGTAAGGAATTTCATCACCTTATCAGTAGTCAAAACCCTACAAAATAAAAAAAGAAGCAACAAAATTAGTTTAGTAGTTCCCGAGAAAATCTTGGTACAGCCAGACAGACTAATGGCTTAACATGTGTTTTTCGAACTCGGGGGGTTCTAGTATAGGTAGGAAAGTAAAAAGAACTCAAATCCTTTACCCCTTTTCTGAATCTTCAAAATTGAAACTCAGACAGAAACGGAGTACATATACTTACTTATTTAAACCTATATTGGCATTCTCCTCACAGATATACGGTATCGCTAAAAAGATCCACCTACGAAAATTTCAAATCTTCCAATCGAAAAACAAAAGCACCTTGTTACATGACTATCAAAAGTCTACATCCTGACTTGCCAACAGTTTAACAACATATAACGGTCATTTTCCAACCATTTTATAGATATTTAAAAGAACATGACAACAGATTAATAAGAGACATAGCCACAGCTGACATAGGCTAAAAAGGTATAGGATGAGAGATCGCCTTCCTTAAACAATATAAGTAATTGAAACAAGTGAGGAAAGAGGTGCTGCTGTGTACCGCCTTCCCCATGCCTGACATGTCGTTACTTCTAGTATTGTCAGCACATTTCCTGATTGTCAAGATAAAGTTATTATCCACATCCACACATATATTATTACAGTGAGGCTCGAAATCGGTTTTGTACCAAATATAAGCTCCTGTCGTGCTCAAATACCCTGAATGGGGTACCATTGGATTCAGAATTTCACGGGGGGTTAGCGAATCGCATTCTCCACTTTTGTTTTTCTTTCTAAAATAAATAAAGTCGATACAAACATTTTGCTAGGCTTCGATACTGGAACAGTGGTAGGTCTGTAGATCGATACGGGACAAATTAGATCTTGAAGATTTTGATGCATACAGCAATAATAGTTCCTCCGGAACTTTTGTATCCTGTGTTTTTAACCCCCAAAACTTGCTATTTTCGAGATAACTCAAGGCATACGGTTAGCATCCACACAACCTTACATTAATTGTAGTACTGCCATTGAATACATGTCTCATTTCGTCGACTTGAGGTCTCTATGATTGAGAGAGGAGTAATTTTTATTATTTATTGATGGGGTTTTTGATCGGCAAGCCATATCATCGTTAATTTTACACCAAATCTCAAGATTGAGCCACCAATTTCGAAGGCTTCCTTCTCCTTCAGGCTGGCAAAATAGTACAATCACCCCGAAAATTCAGACAAACAAGTTATGAAAGAAGACAAACTTTATTTGCCAATAACTAAAAAATTACACACTTTTTTCTTGGTTGTGCCCATGATTATATAAACGATTACTTAATTCCCTACAAAAGATAATAAAATCATCGAAATCGGACAATTTTTAGCAAAGATACAGCTTACTGAAATTTGTAAACATGTTGGTTTCAAACAAAAATGAATAAATAAATTTAAAAAAATTTATTTTCTATGTCGATTATATTTATTGATAAAGTATCATTTGATATTTTTATCTATTGATGCGTTGCATTTTTTTATTTTCTTATTAATTTGGCATTTGATAACCATATGCAGTGCGAAGTTTTCGCACGGGCCTACTAGTGTAATATAATATAATTGTGCTTCCAAGATTCAATTTTATATCCTTGATTTAAGAAAAGCACGTTTGTCAGATAACGATGACTGCTCTGTGAAGAACAGAATCATCAGTGAAATTATCGACTGCTTAATAGATGATTGTATTCTGACAAGAACAAGGACGCTATCGACCCATTCCACTGCCATCCAGATCTGAAGAGTCCCATAAATAAATACTAACCCGGCGGAAGCGGCGTGACGCAGTAAACAGTGACGTATGGTAATGGAAGGAGGGCTGTTAGCAGGATCGTAAAGGCGGTGATGCGCAGCTGGGCCCTGAGGAGAGCCCTTTGAATTAGCCACGTGGTCGAGACCGCCATCGAATCTTGTCATTCGTGTCCTTATGTCTCGCCTTTACAGCGCATTCTGGTTTCGAAGTGTAGGTTACTTAATGTGCGACAGTTATGTGGTGACGATATCTTCTTGGGTAGATGTGGTCTTATCAGGGTCATAAATCTAGCTCTGGGAAGCAATTTCAATGCGGTGAATCGAAGACAGCTTCCGTTACGTATTTTGTTTTCCACTGAGGCTTCAATTTGCTCTGAGGGTTAGGGTGACCCAATGGGCTGACTTGTTTGCAAAACACTCGTTGCTTGGCAACCAAGTGATTATCGAACTTTACAAGATATAAAATACTTACGTTTTCGAGTCCCGGGGTCAAGGGGAACTTTTTTTAAGCTGCTTAAAGAAACCTTACATCATAGCTGCATAAACGTTAATTATTGTAAAATAGTTTGCCCTTATCATAGTGACTGCAAACGATGTGGTGTTAACATGGGAGCAGGGTGGTATTTGAAAAACACACGTTGTCCGACAACCTAATATACCGAAGTATATGATAAAATAATTTCGAATTCATGTCTCGGTGACGAAGGGACTTTATAACTGTAGCATTAATTCCCCGACCTCTCCTCTGGATCGGGAAACGCTCCATATGAAAAGGCAAGGGAAAGATGGACACAAAACAAAAGTAATAAATAAATAAAAATCGTACTCTAGCATGGTTCTCTACAATATTCTGGATTGATTGATGTTCATGGTTAGTGGTGTTTAGGAACAGGTAGCTGTGTCGTTATCGGATTGGCTGTTTTAAAATAAGAGCGTTTATACAAAACAAATAAATAAAAAGCAATAAATGAGTAGAAATACTCTCTTTTCTGTTAAGTTAAATAAAAAATAAATATATTAAAGAAAAAGATTTGTACAACAAAACTTACACTATGCTCCGATTGTTACCCTATATGGATGATAACAATGTTTACCTCTAGCATTAATTCCTCGCCCTCCTCGCTGGTCCGAAAAAATCCTCATATAGCCTAGAAATCAAGGAGTGCGCAAAAAAAAAAAAAAAATAAATTACTTCTATTTGCTCCACTATATTAGTGAAGGAAAGAAAGAAGACGGCCCACTGGCTGATATTATTCGTGTGATCTAAATACTTCAAAAATTATATTACGTGTAATCTTTATATTATATAATACAAGTAGCTACTAAATCGAAGTACTTATTAAGAAAAAATTATCTATAAATGCATTATTGTTACTATATTTTTTGTATCTATTTTTCTTAACCATTTATTTATTTTTATTTTTTATTAGGCCTTTAAGAATCACTTAAATATCATGTTATAACAGTAAATTTTATTTTTAAAAAGTACCAATATACAAATAATACGAATTCACTAAGCCAGTTATCATAAAGAGAGGCAAGATTATATATATTGTGATTTATATATTACACTTTTCAAAATGATCATATTTGATTGCTTCTGATTTATTTATTCCTTTAATATAATAAACCTATTAGGCAAAGCAAAGTTCACCTGAATAATTTATACACAATTAAAATTATATATGACCGTTACACCCCTTTCCACAGATCTTCCTCATTTCAAAACTCATTTATTGTTCACCACTTTTTGGAATCCCATTCCGCTTAAAATCCGCCATGTGCCATCCTTATCCATATTTAAAACCCTCTTATTCCAATTTCTCCTCACAATTCAATCAGATGCTGGGTAATTATTTGTTATGTAACAAGCTTTCATTTTTCTTTATACGTCATTAATATTTTTTTTTGTTTGATGAATATGAAATATATTTCTAACCAATTTTCACAAAGCAGTGTATTCAGATATTTTTGTGTTCTCTCTCTCTTATTTTTCTCTAATCATAAGATTATATGTCTTTTTGATGTATTTCATTTTTTACTAATCTTGAACATACTCCTCTATACGTGTATATATTTTACTTGTTTTTTCTCCTATCAATCTACTTCTTGATAAATAGATTACAATAGTTTTCTTCTTTTTTTTTTTCAATATCATTATTAGTACTTACTTGAACATCTTAAGGAACAGATTTAAATCATTTATTGTATATATTTATCAAGTTTTTTCATTTCTAGAATTGCTTGTCAAGAAAATTAATTGATCGTTATTTTCCAAGTTCATATAGCTATTTTTGCTTCATTGTTTTTAGCACCTATTTTGCAGTTTTGTGACCTTATTGCTCATCTTTTTCTTTAATTTATATTTATGGCCATGCAAATTCTTCTCTTATTACTTATGTTTTAATTATTCTTTTATTGCAATAGGTGTTTTGGCCAGATTTAATGTTAATTTGTATAAACAATATTGTTATTCATAATAGCCTTGTTTCAGAATAAAGTTGATTTTTCTATTCTATTCTATGTATTGTAAATGTTATTACTTTGTGAATAATATTTAAAAAAATTATATTTCATATTATTTTATTTATTTATTTTTCATTAAATTTGTCACTGCGTTGTAACGCATCAAGCAAATGTGTTTATTGTATCTTCTTGTATTCTTGGTATTTTCTTAACAGCAGAAGATCTCTAGGACACTGCCTTTTTAGTCATTGTTGAGGCTCACCATGTAACAAGGAGGAAGATAGAGATAGATCGAGTGGATTTGGATGATTGAGAGTAGAAGAATGAAATGTTGTGTACTTGTTGTGTATGTAGGATTTTACTTTTGGTATGTCCATGTCTTTGTGTATGGTGTGATTTGAAATAAACCAAGGAGCATTGACGATTTTACGAAGTATTTCGGATTGTGTGGTTTGAATTTTGTTTATGTGTGTGTGTTTTGTGGATCCCCAAAGTTCTGCTCCGTATATCCAAATAAATCTTAGTATGACGGTGTAGATTAATCGCTTGTTCAGTAAGTTGAGTGGAGATCTGTTGTCCAAAAGATGTGAATGTTGCTTGTATCGTCTGGTCAGTTCTTGTTTTTTTATTTTAGTGTGAATATTATTAGTCCCGTCTTGTCGATGTTTTTACTTCTACCATGTGATCTTAAGCACACATCGTATTTTTTTTTATCCATACGACGCACTTATTTCTGGATTTTCCTTTTTTCTTAAAATCAGAACAATAATCTCCAAGGCAGTTGATGGGCTATCGGATGATTTATTATTTGTTTATTACAATTAGAATTAAAATAAATAATTTAATAGATGATATAGAAGGTTTTTCTATTTGACTTGGTGACCTGAAGACATAGCAGAGAGGGCGCGGCCATCCATCAAGGATAAAGTAAACAGACTTCTTCCTCGGGCCAGGAGCAATTACCATCCTTCATTCATCACACCCTTCAATGACCTCATTAATCCTCGACCTGAAATAAACGAGAGATTAATATCCAGAGGCAAAGAAGTGCTTTCAAGATATTAATGGTTCTTGTAAACATTGTATTATCCTCTCCCCCCCTCCTCCTTGTAAAATATTAACCTTATTATAACAGGTTGGCTGACCTTTTGTTACTAACTCCTCACCTTATCGGCTTTCTGTTTCATCTAGAGTTTATTTGGAATTTTCTCCCCAACTTCAGAAATTGATAGACATTGTTTTCATCCATACAGGGCATCATTCAGAGCATAGCACAATTTTTGTTGGACGAATCTTTTTCCATAATAATTTTTTAGTCAATTTTAGTTTCTGAGATATTTGAATCCATATCTTCTATAGAACTCGTTATATTTTGGTTTTCGAAACTATTTTTTTTTCCTTTGCGCATCCCTAACACGTCGTCGCGTTAAGATATAATTTTGAATAATAGCTCATTATAAAGTGGATTAAATGATCTTTGTAATATGACCTATTTTTGTAATGAATATTAAACGATTTTGATATGTTTACTATATTTTTTTTTTACTAAGGCGTTTTCCAAGAAGTAGCTGCTCTGGTGTATTGTAAAGGATAGAGAATTGGTTACAACTCCGATTAGTGCGAGATTGATTGAATTTGAACAGAGAGCTCCCACCTTATAGGGAACAATCCTTATTCAAAGACCTCTCAAGTTAGCGCAACTGTCGATTGCTCCAAGCCGACCTGGTTTCGAACTCATCAAGTCAAATACAGTCAACTTAAACTACAAACTAATTCAAAATGTTCCCTACTGGTTAACAGAGTACAATAAAATCGAATATAATAGACGATCGGGTAGCGGCGAAGAGGTATCGAACACAGAAGGGGGTTTACACCCCTAACCCCTCCCCTCTCTCCACCTCCTGTAAGGATTAAGTAAGAAGTAATCCCCATTGTCTGGAGCTCTTTGTCTCCATAGAGGACAATATTCCAGCCACGTCTTCCAGCCAGCCTTGGAATAATGCTGCCATCCCTCGTCTGCAAGATGGTGAATAACATTATCTCCCCCAGTCAGTCCACTCTTTACGGGCGGGTGCGTCTTCTACCGAGGGTATCTCCGGATGAGGGTCTTCGAAGGAATTCGCAAGGAGTTAGAGGAAACGTCGTAGGGCTCATTCTGAATATTTCCAGGATTCATATATATCTTTTATGTCAGTTCTGAAATATGATTATTTAAAAGAGGAGCAAATCACAAATATTAGTTAAAAGAGTCGTGAAATTCCAAAACAGCTGTCCGCTGAAGGCCATGATTTGGTGTTATGAAAACACAACTTGCTTTCGTTATTACCAATTAAAAATCTGTTCTTAGGTATTTATAAAAAACAAATAATAATAAATTTATATGCATATAGCAGCTTTTAAGACCATTTATGGAAGAAGGACGTAATTATTCAATATGTAAACATATATATTCATGGTAATTATCGTGTTCTTTATATTTCCTATTTAATAGAGTATAGGTATTAAAAAGTTCAAATAAATAAAATAATAGTAACGATTATAATCATAAAAAATTATAGAATCCTTTTTTAATTATTGAATACTTAATAGTTGACCGTTGTATTATACTCTTAGAGGAAGGAGATGGTCCGGGGTGGCGGTCATAATCGACTAAAATAGTGGTAAAACATTTTTTAATTATCACCTTTTCAACAAAGAAT